GTGTTCTGAATGTTTTTGGTGAGAGGTTTCTTTCTTTTTCTTTTTTTTTTATTTTTTATTTATTTTGATGCTGTGCCCTCTCAGCTGAAAGCTCACAGCCTTCAGTTCTGGGGTGTTTTCTTAAATTGTTTCGTTGACAATATCTTTTCTTCCATTTTTGTCTTTTTTCTCGAGTTCCTTTAATTTGGCTCTTGCACTTAATTGATCTAGCTTCTTATTTTTCTTATCCTTTGGCCCATTTTTTTCCCCCCTCAATCTTTTCATTTTATTTTCTTGGAGTATTTTTCACTTTTACTTTTAACTGTGTTGCAAGTTCTTTATTTTTATGAGTTTCACTTTCTAAGAGTATTTCCTGAGTCTCTCTGACTGTGCCTTTCTCATAACATTCTATTCTTGTTTTATGGATGCACTGTTTTATTTCTCTGAGAATACTAATTATAGTTTTGCTGTTTTATTCTTTTTTTCCTTTTTTTCTTTCTCTTTTTTTTAAATTTATAAATCATGTTTATTCTATTACAGTTGTCTCAGTTTTTACCCCTTTACCCCCCTCCACCCATCCCACCCTGCCCCCTCTCCCATAGTCAATTCCCACTCTGTTGTCCATGTCCATGGGTTATTCATACATGTTCTTTGTCTAGTCCCTTCCCCTTCTTTCCACCATTGTCCTCCTTCCCCATCCCCTCTGGTCACTTTCAGCCTGCTCCATGTTTCCATGCCTGTGGTTTATTTTGTTGAGTAGAGTCCACTTATAGGTGAGATCATATGGTATTTGTCTTTCCTCAACTGGCTTATTTCACTTAGCTTAATACTCTCCAGTTCCATCCATGTTGTTGCCAGTTTAGGAGTTCCATCTCTCTTTCTTTCTTTCTTAAATGCAGATTGATTTTATTTATTTTTTAAGTGTCAAAGTTAATTATAAAATATTAAAAAATTTAAAACCATTATAAAGTCTCAGCAATTAAACCAACATGACACCAGCACAGAAATAATCAAGTAGATCAGTGAAATATAATGCGCATTGTAGAAACTAACATATATATCTGTCTAACAATGTAATATATGATTAAATCGATATTTCAAATCCATGGGGAAAAATAAGGCTTATTCAACAGATATGGTGCATGGACCACTATTACTTGAAATAAAACAAATACAGAGCCCTATTTCACACATTATACAAGAAATATTCAGGTGAGTTAAAAATCAGTATGTAGAATTTAAGGAGTCTTAGAAGAAAATAGAACTATTTTTCATGACCTGAAGTAAAATATTCAAACCCAGAAGCTATAAAGTAAATATTGACAATATGACTATATTAAACATTTAACTATGTAATAATATACATAAAAAATGTTAAAGGCAAGGAATAGAATAGAAAAGTATCTGCAACACATCTAAAACATGGTTAATAGGGGTTTTTTTAGAGAAAAAATTCTACAAACCTTTAATCAATAAATAGATAAAGAATACCAAAAAGTCATTGAAAGCTTTTTTAAAACAATAATAGAAATAGGCAAGAAATATACTAAAACAGGTTTAGTTTCAACAAATAATGAAGGAACAATTAAAATAACATCATTGTCACGATCAGATTAATGAGTATTAAAAATATTGGTGATATCAAGAATTGGCAATTCTGAAAGGAACTGGGTATTCATAGAAACTTTTTCTACATGTTAAAGCAAGTCCCTTTAGCATATTTTGCAGTGCTGGTTTGGTGGATGTATATTCTTTTAGCCTTCTTTTGTCTGGGAAACTCCTTATTTCGCCTTCCATTTTAATTGAGAGCCTTGCTGGGTAGAGCAGTCTTAGTTGCAGGCCTTTGCTTTTCATGATTTGGAATATTTCTTGCCACTGCCTTCTGGCTTGCAGTGTTTATGTTGAGAGGTCAGCGGATAGCCGTATTGGGGTTCCCTTATATGTTACTACCTCTTTCTCCCTTGCATCTTCCTTTAGGATGCTCTGTTTGTCTTTGATATTTGCCATTTTAATAACGACGTGTCTTGGAGTAGGCCTCATTGGGTTCCTCTTGAATGGGACCCTCTGTGCTTCCTGGATGTGTCTGACTTTTTTTCTCCTCCAGTTAGGGAAGTTTTCCATTACGGCTTTTTCAAACAGGTTCTCTATCCCTTCCTCATCCTCTTCTTCTGATATCCCTGTTATACAGATATTATTATGTTTCAGGTTGTCCTGCATTTCCCTCAATGCCTCTTCATTCTTTTTGGGTCTCTTTTCATTTTCTTGCTCTTTCTGGGAGCTTTTTTCTACCTTGTCCTCCAGCTCGCTGATTTGGTCCTCAGCTTCATCTAGCCTGCTTTTGATTCCTTCTACTGTGTTCTTCAATTCAGAGGTTGTATTCTTCATTTCTTCTTGTCTCTTATTGATAGTTTCTATGTCCTTTTTCATGCAGATATAGTTTGCAGTAAGTTCCTTGTAGTTTCCCTGTAGTTTTTTGTAATTCTCTCTGAGCTCACTGAGCTGCCTTATAACCGTTGTTTGGAACTCAATATCTGATAGTTTACTTGCCTCTATTTCATTTAGTTCTCTTTCTGGAGATTTCTCCTTTCCGTTCGGGTGGGGGGTATTTCTTTGTCTTCCCATTATTTGTGAGACTCTTCTCTTTTGCTTCTGCTTCTTAAGTTGGTCTGTCTTGATTTCCTGACTTTGTGGTGTGAACTTCTATAGTAGGAGACTGCTGTTTTTACTTTCTGGGTCTGCCCCTGATGATGTCAGATGTTGACCCTGTCTGACCTTAGGCAGTCTTTTCGAGACTTCCAGGAATCTACTGTCTGTGGCTGTCTCCTTCAGCTGTTCATCTATTCACTCTGCACTCAGCAGGGTGCCTTAGACAGCTCAGGGTGGGGTGGAGGCCCTCCTGCAGGGGGTGGTTATTGGATCTTTTCAAGCTGCTGCTGTATGAGGGAGGAGTCCACACTGGGATCCCACCGGCTACTCTCTCCTTTCTTTCTCCAAAGCCTCTGTTCCCAGTCTCTCCTCAAGTGTCGCCAGACCTCTCTGCACCCACTTTAGCCAGGGATCTACTGTCTGTGGCTGCCACTCTGCACTCTGCAGGCAGGTTAGACAGCACAGGGTGGTGTGGCTATTGGGTCCTTTGACGCTGGTGTCGCTCAGGGGGAGTGGTCTCTGCCTGAGCAAGATGGCTGCTGCAGCATGGGGAACGAGTCAGCACCGAGATCCCGCTGGCTACTCTCTCAGTTCTCTCCCCAAAGCCTCCTTCCCCCATTTCTCCTCAGGCGTCCCTAACCCCCTCTGCCCCCGCCTTTGCCGGAGACCAGGGTAAGTGGCTGCAAATAAAATTTTATGCGTTGGCCCTTTAAACAGTTCTTTGCATCTCCAGCCATCTGTCTCTGGCAGAGATAGCAATCCTGCAGCTTTTCACAGCTGGCTGTTTTCTGTGTACTTTTTGAGCTCTGGTGCTGTGGGCTAGAGATCCCTGCTTTTGGTTTAGACCCTGCTCTTCTCAGGGGGATCCAACTGGCCGTTTCAATATCCTTCTGGTGCTGCCGCCCGTGGGCACCCCGCCCGCCTTCTCGAGTCCCTACCGCACTCCTTGCCAGTTAGATTGTGCTAAAGCCGATTCTTCTGTCTCCGAGGTTACAAGGCTCCTCTCTCGCTATTGTTCAGTTGTTTGTTCCAGGTGATTTCTCCACAATTTAGTTGTCATTCCAGGTTGGTCCTGGGAGGAGGTCAGTGTGACTTCCACTCGCTCCTCTGCCATCTTGATTCTCTCCCCCTTTCTTTTTTTAATCTTAAGTTTTATCTTTCTATTAGCTTGTTTTGCCCTTGTCTTTTGTGTTAAGGGCTCTCCTCAGCTATCTGGTGAACTTTGGTTATCCGCGTGTATTGAAAAGCAAGGCACTAGCACACGATCAGAGAATGAGTGTGGGGAGGGGCTGGAGGGCACTTGTTACTGAGAGGGCCTCACAGTGGGTATTCGAGGGGAACTCAGCTAGTTCATGGGAGGATCTCCAAGTCACTGTCTTTAGGTTGTTTTTCTTGTGCTTCTCTGTTTCCCCAGGGAAAAATTCTCTAATCTCCTTCCTGGGTAAATAAGACTGGCAGCATTCTGGGGGATGGGGCTCGGGGGGGGGGCGGTTGATCTCAAGGTTCAGTTTGTAGACTTCTCCTAACCCCCTGTTGTCTCTCAGGGCCATACGTCCGCCCTCAGCCTGGTGTCTCCCAGCAGAGCTTCTCTTACTATAGTTACCGCATAGTAAGCCCTGTTTTTCTGCCAGCCGGGCAGGGGGCTGTTGGCCAGCTGTGAGAGGATCTGCTGTGGGACTGCTCCTTATTCAGACTTTTAAAACATACACACACACTCACTCACTCGCTCACTCACTCACTCGCTCACTCACTCACTCACTCACTCATTCTGCTTTTAACCTACCTTTTATCATGCCTGCAGAGGTGACTTGGTATCTCCAGAGCCCAAGGGTTTCAGGGTTCTTGGAGACAATTAGCTCATTTTTGGTGGCTGGTTTCCTGAGGCTATTGGCTGAGTAGGGAAAGCAGAAAACCCCTCACCCATCCGTCAAGATCACCCTAAACATCAGAAGTGATCTTATTTCTCTGTGGATTTTGTGTCTTGGTGCTTCTAAGTGGGATGGAGTTTTCACGTTGCTCCAGTGTATGGTGCAGTGTAGAATGTAGACATTGACCTCCCAGAGGGGTCCTGGTTAAGTGAGTGGCAGGTATGTCCATGCAGCATGTGTCTATCGTATGCAACCCTTAGAGCCTTCGGCATGAAGAAGAGAGTGACCCAGAGACTAAGAGTGGACAGGGAAGTGTCTGGGAGTGTGGTGACTTGAAGAGGGGGATGGGGTGAAAAGGCAGCTCTAGTGTCCTGAGAAGGGACAGTGTCGTCTTATCCCTCTGAAGTAAAATGTGCTGTAGGCAACATACCTGCAGGCACCCATTCTTCCTTGGGCCTGGCCAGGAGCTGCGGTCAGGCTCACTCTCCTTGTCTCCTTCATTTCCAGGTGGTCCTGCCAGTGCGGCTGTCCTCCACAAAGGTCTCCTCGCTCATTGAGAGGATCTCTGACCCCAAGGACTTGAAAAAACTTCTCAGGACCCGAAATAATGTATTAGTGCTTTACTCCAAATCTGGTGAGTGCCTTGCCTGGCCTTCGGGACATCCGTCGGGGGTGGGGATGGGATAGGAAAGGAATGAGGGGGGCAGAGGTGGGAGGTAAGACCTTAGGACCAAAAACCACTCGGGGAGAGTCTGAGGGACATCGGTGTGTCCGTGTTCCTTGGAAGACAGGGTAGAGGCACGGAGGGGCATTAGTTCTGCTGGTTTTGGATCCCAGAGAGGCCATGTCAGTTCTTTTTTATAAGTATTTCTTAGAAAAAGCCTCATTACCTCAGGAGGGAGATGGCATGTGTGTGAAGGAGGACAAAAGACCCCAGGGATGGACATTCTGACTTCCTGGACAGGCATGCTTCTCCAGAGCTGATGATTAACAGGTTGGGCCGGCCCGTTGCCAGCTGAAATGGTCCCACTCCTGGGGGCACGCACCCAGGCTGGCAGCCCTGACCCTGTCTGGCCTCCACCTGCCCCACTCTGGGACTGAAACGCCAAGACTGTGTTTGGACTGGGCTCCACCCTCAGGACAGGGCCCCTTCAGTGGGGGTGGGAGCAGCTGCTCGCCTCTTCTGACCTTGGGGCTGGGAAGGGCATAGTGGATGGAGAGAGTTTTGCTTGGCTCTTGGCCCTGACTTTGAACATCTGACTGTTGATACTATTCCAGCAAAGTTAAGTGTTTTTGCTGCTCCTGATGGTGCCAAGTTTTCTGTGCCCTGGAGAAGCAACAGCCAGTGGCTGGGCCAGATCCGGGCATGGCTCTCCCGGCAGCTCATCGTTGACACTCATCGGCACTGGGGCTGATGGATATCTTGGACGTGTGTCGCTTCTGGAACCCGCACCCTGCAAGCACCCTGGCACGTGCTGCTCCTTGCCCTTCTGAGGGCCTGGCAAACGCTCCCTGAGTTTTTTGGGAGCCCAGCATGTGGCTAGCATTTCTCTGCTGTCAGGAATAGGGGTAAACAGAGGCCAGGGAGAAGCAGAGTTGCTCCCGAGGCCTGGCTGTAGGACCCTGAATAAGTGGCCCACCACCTTGTGTGCCCCTGGAACTGGTGTTTGTCAGTACAGGAACACACTCAGTTCCTTCTCTGGGTAGGTCCCGTCACATAAGCTTATCATCTTATATGGACTCTGCAAGGACCTCCTGCAGCACGTTCTCATTTGCTCCTCTGCCACGAAGGAGGCAGTGTAGGCTGTCAGATAACGTCCAGGTTACAAGTGAGGAATCTGAAGCCGGGAGAGAAAAGCTGACTTGCCTGAGGTCTGCCAGCCAGTAGACTGTAGAGCCGGTGCCCTGCCCTGCCTCTGTCTTGCTTCTCCTGGAAGGTAGGAAGAAATGTCGTATTTCTGCAGTGATGGGAGGGCTCTGCCACCAGGAAATGACTACGGTAAGTTAGAGAGTGGCAAGCTGGGATCTCCTGATGGCTGCTTGCAGGGCAGGAGGCAGGGCCTTGGAGCATCTTATTTTCTCTCCAGCCCTCACCAAGGCGTGGTCTCATTCGTTGACAGTGAGTTCCCCGTGCTGCCCACATGTCAGCTCCTCCCTGCTTCAGCAGTGGGTGTGGGTGATTATTCTACCTTCCTGCCCCCTGGCCCAGGCCAGGCACTAGACTTGTGACTGTGAGTGCACTTTCAGAGCAGCACAGTAACTGGGTTTTCTCCCCTCCCGTCCTTCCAAGCAGGGCTCCCATTCTGCTGCTGAAAGGCAGGGTTAAGGGAGGGACACCACCTATCGCTCTATTTCAGTTTCCCTCCCCCCTTCCCAGAGCCCACCAGCGCTGTGGAACGATGGCCTTTTCCACCTCCGCTGTGCCCTGCTTGTGTTGTCCTGGTGGGGGTTCCTGGCCCCCATTCTGGAATGGTGCTTTTTGTTCACTTCCATGAAAGGCTCAGCATGCTTTGTATTCGTAAACAGCTACCATTATCCGCACTAGAGAAGGAGACCTGTGGGGGCAGACAATTCAGACATCATTTCTGTTTGGCTTTGGAACGCATCATATGGTTTTTGGTGGGGGCGGGTAGGGGGAAGCCAACAGACTGCTTTTTCCACCAGTGTTGGCATGGTGGGCCTTTCAACGGAGCTCTGAGGGATGACAGGGGAAAGTGACACACCAGCCACAGCCACTCTGCAGTGGGACCTTGCAGGCTGGCAGTGTTGAAATCCCAGCCACAGAGGCTCCATTCCTAAGAACCTGCCCTCCTACCGTAGTTTCCAGGTGCTTTGCCCAGACCGCAGGAATGGACACCTGGACCAACAAAACACTTCCTTTCTTGGGTTCCTGCCACCCGGCCCTGAGGCATAGTCCACGGCCCTGCAGCTGACTCCTGAGGTGCTGCCAGGGCCAGTTCGGGGAAGTGGGCTGTGAAATCTGACCTGGGTACACTTGGCGTTGGTCCATCAGAATCTAGCGTCACATGTAAACTTTGTTTAATTACCAGGTTGTACCGAGCCCCTAGGTGAGTGTGTGATGGACAAATGAAGGAAGGGTCTGGCCCTTGCCCTTGGCAGCTCCCAGATGGGGTGCCAGGACAGACAAGTGTGGAACTGGCAAACTCATTTCCTACTTTAGTTACAGAATTGTAATTATTTGGTTATAGAAGTTTCAAAATTTGTCCCAAAAAGGTAGCAGCGAGTCAGAGACTCTCCTGGGAGTTGACTCTCCTGGCTCAGAGATCCTTGGGAGAGTGAGGCTTACGGGAGGGGTGGGGTGGGCTGGGGGTTCTGTGCCTGTGAGGAAGGGCCAGGGAGGGCGGCGGGCGCAGGGGTTCCTGAGCAGGGCTGGGCTGTGCTCACAGAGCTGTTGGGCACAGGGACCGCGTTTTAACTGGTGCTCAGGACCCCACCCACTCTGGGACTGGTTTCCTTCCTTCCTCGCGCCTGAGGGAAGATGGTAGGGGTGGCCCTGCTGTAGTTGGGCACAGATGTTTAATTTCTTTCTTTTTCTTTTTTTTAACAGAGGCTGCAGCTGAAAGTCATCTCAGGTTATTGTCCACTGTGGCCCAGGCAGTGAAAGGACAAGGCACCATCTGCTGGGTAGACTGTGGGTATGTCCTGGGGACATGGGGCATGGTGGCTAGAGGGCAGGGGACTTGGGGGCTTTGGCAGGTGGAGTAGGGAATTGTTCCTGGTTCACAATCTGAGAGAGAAGGTGTGAGGGAGAGATGCTGCAGAAAGACTTCCTTAGCAACCCTGCAGCATCGCCTGTGGACTGGAGACAGGCAGGCTCTGGCTCTCCCTCCTGCTCTTTCCAGCCCACCCCTCTTCTTTCCCTCTTCCATAGTGCTTTTACTTTTTACTTTGTCACGTGTCACTTGATTTTGTTGGTGGCAGAGGGAGCCTTGTTTTTTAGTTGGAGCCTTGATAACCAGAGAGGCAAGGTGATTTTCAGGATGACCCAGTGAGGAGGGGGGGTTGACAGCAAGAACCTGGGCTTTACCCCCAGCCCAGGCCAGTGACAGAGGTCTCCACTGCCCGCAGCCCAAAGGTGGTGGAATCGGCTGGCCGACCTCATCGCTGCCTTGGCTTCCAAGGTGACTCGTTAGCTGTGTCAGTCCTGGACAGGGGGCTTAGCCCTTCAGCTCTCTCCTCTGACTGTGTCTCCCTTCCCCCACCTGTCACAATGCCAGTGCCGTGTGCTCCTTTTTGTCCTTGTCCTTCCTGGCCTCCCTCCTCCCAGAGACTTTCTTGTTAGAATCAAGTGCCAGCCCACAGGAGGGAGTCCACAGGAAGGAGGGCTACTTAGTGTAGGGAAGGGGCCTCTTGATGGAATTCCTCTGATTCTTTTGAGTTTGGAAGCTGGAGTCCAGGGTGTACTCAGCCTTCCTTTCTTTTCAATCACTAAGAATGATTTCCACATCTCTCTGTGTTCAGTGCTTTGCTGCTGGGATTATATATACACATACCACTTGTCATATCATTAGCTCCCAATTTGCCATGGATTGGTAGAAACACAGAAAAGACACGCAGGTAGTGAATGAATGTAGGAAAAATGACAGTTTAGAATAGGCTTGTCCTTTGCACATTTACTGAGCACCAGCTGTGTGCAAGGCATTGCTGCACTTGGCGGAGAGCAGCATTTACACATCCTTCTGAGTACAGGAAGTGTTTCCAGATCCACTGTGTCCGGCCAATTCTCACCTGGACTTAGGGTTTATTAGGAGCGTGGGTTTGGGAAGAGGAGGGGAAAGAATTGCACTCAAGAGAATTGTACTCTGTTAATGTGGGGAAGAGGTGGGGCTCTGCTGGGAAAAATGTCCGTTCTCTTCCTGGATGGCCCATTCTTTTAAACCTTGAATGTAGCTGACCTTGCCTGAGTCACAAGCCTTGTCATTACCCTGTGGGTTAAGTGAGCTTTAATGGTCTCCACTCCAGTGCAATCTCCTTTCTCTACAATCTGAGTCTTAAATGGCTGTTTTACAAATGAACTTGATGGCCTCAAGCTTGTCCTGCCCAGGACTGGAGAGAATTGAAGGAGATGCATATTTTGACAAGGCACTAAATAAGACCAGAGAAGAAGTGTTAGCCCAGTAGCATTTGCTGTAGGCGTGTGTGTTTGTGCACGTGCATGCATGTTTGGCCTCATACCTCCAGGTTTATTTATATACCAACTTAATGGAAGAAACTGCTCTCTAGGGTCCCCAGTCCCTGGGCAATGGACCAGTACCAGTCTGTGGCCTGTTAGGAACCTGGCCACACAGCAGGAGGTGAGCTTGAATCATCCCAAAGCTCCCCCAGCCCCCTGCCGTGGAAAAATTATCTTCCACAAAACTTGGTGCCAAGTTGGTGATTGGGGACCGCTGTTCTAGATAGTTGGTGAGATTGTAGCTATTGGTGAATTCTAGTTCATAGTTGGTCTGGAAGTATTTTAGTCTCCCAGGCATGTCTCTGTCTCCAGCAGTTTGCCAGAAGTGCACTATGTGACTGGCAAAGTGACAAAGCCTGTTGGAGAGGACAGGATACTTTGGATTCTCCATAGCTGAGATGATGCCAGTTCTGCCTGATGGAGGCTTGTAAGTGGCAGAAGTGGGCATAAGAGCTTGGTTGTAGCTGTTCCATCTACCTGGGCCCACCCAGCAAGCATTCCCAAGCACTTGCCGTGTGCCCTGAGATGTACAGATGGGTAAGTGTCTTCACGTGTGCCAGGAGGAGGCCGACACCTAATCAGGAGACTGCAGTCCGGGTGAAAAGTGCTATAAATGGAGGCTATCTGTATAGAGTCACTTCATTTGCCTGGAAAGAACGCTTCACAGAGGAGGTGGGGCAAAGATCTCAGAGTATCAGGTCTTAATGTGCCCTGGCTCACCCGCCAGCAGCTCCTTGTGGTGTGGGGCCCTGAGCACTGCCTGCGGTCTGGCTGGTGGATATGGCGGCGACAGGCCTGCTGTTCCCTGGACGGACAAGGCTGAAAGGGGCCGGGGCGAGCCTGCAAAGACAGACTAGGACGATTAGAACACACTAATTCATTGGGAGACAATATAAAACTGCCAGTGGGAGAAATAATCCCATTGTGACTCTTGATGTGCTGAAATGAAAACCGAGGGGCACCTTAGAGCTTGTAAGAGGTAACCTTAAGACAAGAGGATGGGCTGCTCCATGCAGTTACCACTCAGTTTATCCCTGTAAAAGGAAGTATAAATTGAAATATTAAATAGTTTTTAAAATAGTTTAGAAGTACATGGATTGAGGAGCCATAATGGATTTGTTGGAAGCAGGAGTATCTCTGTTTGAAACCAGAGGCAGCCCAGGAGACAGAACTCCGGGCTCTAGTCCATGCAGGCCACCCTGGGTGGCAGTTCTCACAGACCAGTGTCACATGAGACTGCCAAGGGCAGGATCTGGCTCGGCCCTCCTGCTCCTAGACTTCTGACCTTCTGCCCTGTAAATCACTAGGGGGCCCCACTGTCTTAACTCGGGCCCTGTGATGACAGCTCTTGCTGTTGTCCTAAATGCGTTCAGCCTGTGTTTTTGAGTCTGAATGAGACGCTCTGGGGATGGGCAGAAGCTCTCTCAGGAGCTCTGTCTGTTGCCGTCTGCAGTGGAGTAAGTAGGTGGACTGGAGCCAACGTCTGCTCGCGTTTTATCTCAGCTGCTGTTAACTAGCAGGTGGGCAGCCAGGCGCACCTCCCCTCTCGTGGGCCCTCCGAGGCTCCCCAGCGCCCGTCCTTTCCCAGCTCTGCCTCCTGCCCTGCCAGCGGAGGGTTGGGGGCTGGGGTGGGGACACCAGGGCTTGGAGGGGGGTGACGGGGAAGGTCAGGAGTAAACAGTCCACTCTGTTTTTCCCCTTTAAAGGGCAAGTGAAGAGAAGGGCAGTAGTCCAGGATGAGAGACGGTAGTGCACTGGTGTGAGGCGTCTTTGGACGTGGATGGGAGTGGCATAATGGCAGAGACCTGGGTTGAAGGGTCAGCTTTGCTACTTGCTATCCCTGCTTGCTACTTGGATAGGACAGTTACCCTGAATCTGTTTCCTCATCTATAAAATGGACAATAATTATTTCTTCCTAGCCCCATGACGAGGGTCAGGTAAACAAAAGTTCTTTCTAGAATAGAAGTTAAATGTGAGATCCCATGCCACCATTGTTATTTTTCACCCGGGCAAGATTGTTCAGGGCATTTCAGGAAGCTGGAGGGGAATAATGGTGTTTGTTCTTCAACAGCTTTTTTCTTGGGTGAGGAGGCCTTGGTGGTTGTGAGAACGCCCCTGAAGGGTTTTGGGCATGAGAGTCAGCCCAGCTCGTGGGTGTTTTGCCCGGACCCTGAAGTAGTACAGGGTGCAGCGGAACTTGTAGGACTGCACGTCAGGAGGCCTGGCTCTGAGTCCAGGTTTTGATGGCAAACAGCTGTGGGACCTTTGACAAGTTGCTGCCCCTCTCTGGGCTTCTATTAATGTTTTGTGAAATGTGGAGTTAAATTTTCCAAATTGCACTCATCCATAAATAGCCTAATTCAAAAAATCTCAGAAGATGCCAGGCTTGGTGTGCAGTGTGTGTGTGTAAGTATGTGGTAGGGATGTGTCTTCTAGTCTTTTGGGGCCCTTTTTGTGTGGATGTCTCCCCATTTGGGGTATTTGCTTTTATATCTTTCCAGCCCTTCCCTCTGAGTGTCTTTCCTGTCTCCCCTTTGTTCCATGTCCCTTACTGGTTTTGATTGTTTCTTCCCTTCTCTGGTTCTGGCTGCCCATTCTTTTGGTCTTTTTCCTCCTCTCTTTTCTGTGTGGATATTTTTTCCCTCTTTATCGCTTTTCTGGCTCTTGCCTCCCTACTCATGAATACGTGCTTGCAGGCACATGTACCCCTCTGTGTTGGTCTTCTCCCCGGTTCCAGTAACTTGTGGCTGCGAGGTGTCAGTAGAGTGTCTGGCTTCTGTCCAGGGATTGGTCACCTCTCCCTGCCCCTCCCTCTACCCGCTGGCTCAGACCTCAGCAGCCACGCTCAGGTTGGCTGCTGGTAGTTGGCTGTTGATGGGTTGTATGTGAGGGAGTTGGTATTCCCCTCGTGCCCTGAAGCCTGGCTGGCATTGGAGCTCGGCCTTGGCGTGGAGCGCTGCTGTCTGGGCAGCTGAGCGGGAGCCAGCAGGCCGGAGCTGTGTCTGGTATCCTAATTCCTGGGGGCTGATTGTCACTGGGCTGAGGCTGCCCTGCCCATGCTCACTGCTTTCTTTTCTTGAGGGTTTAAGGTCATTACCTAACCACATTTTCCTTCTTCCCTACTCTCTTTGTTGCATCTGCTCTGTTTCCCCTGGAGCTGTGCTGCCTTCCCAGATCCAAGATTTGCGGCCTGCCAGGGTAGGCATAACGTATTTTGAAGTCCTATGTTTTCTTTAAAGAATGTTTGGATTTAGCATTTGCTCCTTTACATGTAAGCCTATTTAACATTACTTGCCATGGGACAGAGGAGACTCCCCAAAGGAGTGCTGTGTTGATGTGTCTTCCAATGCCTCCTGGCACACTGACAGGCACTCGCTGAGGAGTGGAGCCTTAGAATTGCTGTGCTGGGGAGGCAGGGGGAGGAGGAGAAGGCACGCTTCTCTCCCTCTATTCCCATTACTT